GCCGATATAAAGTGGCTTTAGAACTGGTAGGTGGACGAATTTTAGTTGGAAAGTATGTCGAATCATGGGGAATTGTACCCAGCCAATCAATTGATTTGTAAGAGATTAAAATAGGTCAATAAAATCACCTACAAACAGACGTTCAAAGTAAGTTTAAAAGAGAACCACGTGGTTATTAAATTCCTCACTTTCTAAGAGTGGAAAAAACCTTAAGCAGGGCCTGTACTTTATATACCTCCCCCCCATTAACAAACATTTCCAATTATAACCAACTTCCAACCTAGAAACTCTCCATTTGGTAACTAAGCGCCTGATTTCCCGCTCGACTGCAGTCTGAAGTGAAAACTCAAAGTTCCAAAGCCAAAATTAATAATTAACTACGTAGGGGGGTGTGGCTGGAGGAGTGGAAGCCCGCTCAGCCAGATGTGGCTAACACAGAACGTGGTCAGAAGCAGCTGGCAGGTAGGCCACAAAATGCCTTTTCCTTGTAAATTATAATTGTTATTAATTCTTGCCAATTTGCATGATGATTCTGCTAGCACTGCTCCTGTGGCTGTTGCTCCTGCTGATGATGATGATCAATGAATTACGGCACTGGGTCGTGGAAGCCTTCTTGGGTTGATTAAAAACTGTCCAGGCGACAAAATCGATGATGGAATTAAGTAAACAATCAATTTGCGCCAGCCAGCCAGGCTAGAATGAATGAATGAATGAGTTCCGTCTTAGTCCTGGCAGTTGCCTTAGTTGCCAAGCAAACACTAGCCCCTGGCCCTCCTGGTCCTGCCCCTAAATGCCACCCCATGGTGTTGGTATTTACGGCTATAATGAAAGTTGTTGTTTCTGGTTTCTGTTCGACAATCCTGCGTCCTGCGTCCTCCTGCGCCCTTTGTTTGAGACTGGAAAAGGTAATTCATTGGCTCGATATTGTTGTCCTGCTGTTTCTGCTAATAAAACATGCCCCAAACACTGCGAGAAATTGCCGACTATTATTGCCAGAGGTTGACATGCAAAATTAATAGTTTTAAAGGGGATTTCCTCGAGTGTAGAGCTCCCTGTTTGCACAGCCTGTTGCTGTTAATACAATAAAATGGCAACCTCATCGCACTTAGCGAGGCCCGAAATATGGTCTGGTCCTTTTCGTCCTGTTCGTCGATGGGGTCCTCCTTTATTGGCAATTGTCAACAGTCATTATGTGGCCCAAAAGTTTACCATTCCGTCTAAATATAAAATGCCATCGGTGCACGTGTCAAGAAAATGTTGGGGCGGAGAATAGTTGGCCATAAATTTGCTGGAAACTTCGGATGAATAAATGATGACCCAACAGGTGTTGGAGTATTTCCTTCAAAAATTCTAAAAGAATAAGCTCCTGGTAGTCCTGGCAGTGCGTTTCACTGCATAAATAATGCCGATTCTTTGCCGACTTAAGCAAATTGGATTTCTACAATTAAAATCTGCCTTCTTAGTCGGCTAAAGACCGTGCGATTCGCGACAGGCTCCTAATTATTCATGCATAAATTACAAAAATAAATTGTTGACACAGAACCAGAGTAGGAGTGCCTGCCGCAGGACTCGTCCTGTGTCCTGTGTCTTCTTCGGCAACATGTTGCTCAGAGCAGTTAAGCCAAATTTGGGTTGGAACAAGCTGCTAAGACGGCTCAAGAATGTTCTTGAGGTCGTGTAAATAAATTAAGCGGCTTAGGATTCCATGTATGCCTGGCTCGACGTCCTGACTCCTCGTCCTGACTTGGCTTGTTGTTTGTCGTTTGTCGCGCTTTTTGTAATTAAAACACTCGAGGCACACAGCATTTGAAAGGCGTTTCGGTGTGTATTCCTAATGGAGTCATTTGTTATGCTAAGAAGGACTTTGCACGAACCACTTTGCCAGAGAAAAGTAGTGCTTGCTTGTTATGATTATGAACTTTATGCCACTTTCGCAGCAATTAATTTTATAATAGTTTTCCAACTACTTTCCAACTCTCTCCTGGCAGCGTAATCCAACCAATTTAAATAATTTAAATAGCATTTTCAGTCTCACAAACCGAGTCCTTCTTAAATTAAAGTGTTGTGTCCTCCCAGAGGAAGTGCAAGTGCCGCCGCCGGATGGAGCTCTCTGCGTTCTGGCGTTCTGCATAAATTATGCACTTGCTGGTGTTGTTGGATCGCATATCGATGGCATTTTTAATTGAAATACCACGGCTCCAAAAACACAACCACAGAGCCTCGAAAAGTAAAAAAAATGAAGACCGTAAAAACGGCCTGAAATTTAATTAAATCAATGTGTTGATTTAATTGAAATGCAGTGTCAGTGGCAGTGTCCATCTTAATACGCCTGGCCGGGCAAAGTAATTAATTTACATGATAATGCTTCTTTCTCAAAGTTTTCCCTTCAAAGTTGTAGCTTGAACTTTGATCCATAATTCCTGGAGATTTTTGTGTCCTCCTAAATGTCAGACCTCCTAATTTAAACTCTTTTAGAAAATATTGAAAGTATAGTGTCTTTGGAAGCCCTCACTCTAAGAACTCCTAGACCCCATCTAGTATTTTATTTTATCCGATTCGGTGAAAGCCATCAATTTGAAAGCCAGACCATGTAATTCTAAAATATGAACCGACTCTCCGTTGACAGACTGTCCATCAAACAGAGCCACGTCTCCTGTCTCTAGCGATGCAATATGTCGAAATGTTTGTTTGTTTATGGGTTGTTGTTTGTTTGTTTGTTGCATCAAGATGGAACAACAACAAGAGACACGCTGGCTGGCAAATAGGGAGTGTCACAGCTCCCCAGCACCACCCCGGCCAGCCCACTTGCCAACTATCTGTGATTGTCATGCACTTAGCCAGGCCTGACACCAGCCGACTCGTCGTTTCCATTTCATTCCTTTCCAGTGCATATCCTGTCAGCTGTAAATTTACGATTTTCTGGCAGCAGGAGGCAGGAGGCAGCAGGGATGTCCTGGAGGTAATAAAAAAATGTTGATTCAACGTTAAGCCGCTAGAAGAATTTCAATTGCAGTCTTCAGCTGGATAATTGATGAGAAGTGAACCAGCTTGGCTCTTAAAGCTTTCCATGAAATGTCTGCAAGTCATTTCGCTTTATTTCTCGCCTTTCACTCTCTCCGCTTATAAAGGATTTTTTTCCTCTATATCCTAGCGAGTGGGCGTGGCTGAGAGGCGGTGGCAGAGCAAGGCAAATATTTGTACTTAAACGGAAGTTTTTGCCCAACTCGCTGCCAGAAGAGCAGTTTGCCGAGCGGCAGGCCCCGAGGTTCTTTGCTTTTCACACTTTGCCTGTACAGGCCCCATCCGCTAGAAACACCAACACCCACCCACTTTTGCCAAGTTTTAGGTTTACATACTTACACTTGCACAAGGGAATGGGTATTTAGAAATTTCGAATTTCTAGAGAATTAAACGGAAAAAGGTATAGATTTCAAAGTCTGTTAAATAATTCATAATTTTATTATCCTTTAAAGTCTATGATCCTTCCTATCCTTAACCTGATACTAATATTTAAATTTCCAGTGCATTGGACTGCAAATGAGTTTTCGGTTGGCTGCCTGGCTGTCGGCTTTAATAAGGTTAAGTGACCCATCCTATCCCATCCCGACCCAACCCAACCTGACTTGCTGCTGAGCTGGCATATTTTGACAGCAAATTGACCAACAAACCCGCATTCCCGAAGCATATGATTTCCATTTAGTGGGCCAAATTATTATGGATTGTCAGTGCAATTAGCTTTGACTTTAATGGAATGCAGCCAATGAGGGATGCAATTCCCGGGCCGGCAGAAAAAAGCTTGTTTAGCGCAAATATATGAATATAAATCAGGAATGATTGCCATGTGTGGTTGAGTGCATTTCATAACCTTTAACCCGAGCCTTTCAGCACTCGGGTCGGTTCTGTCTTTCTGAATGAAAATTGACATGCGAGGCGTCCATTTCCAGCGCCTTCCCTAGGGACTCGCACACCCACACCTTCCAATCAAAGGCACACCCACTCTGTAACACATCCACAACGTCAATCAGCAAATAACAATCTGACAAATGCAAATACCAGAAATTCAAATTGTATGCGATATAAATAATTCACGGAAAACGCAAAACGAAGTTGTTCGTTCATACACGTGAAAAGTTATGCTTTTCTACTCCCACAAACCGAACCAAAAAAAAAGGACTCTTTTCCGCTCTCTGTTACAATTTAAATTTTAATTAAATGATAAAACAGCAAACGGAGCAATCAGCTTGTCGAAGCGTAACTCTGGGAGAGGGATTTCGCCTCCTTTTTTTTTATTCCCTGGCATCGGTGTTGGCCTCGTTAAGTCGACGCCACAATCCCAAGGCATAAAAGGCATGGCGTAAGTTGAGAACTTAAACCCCTTCTGTAGGTGACGCATCCGCCCTGTGGGCCCATGTGCCAGTGTGTCACCTTTGTATTGTTTTTCCTTTGCCCAATTTTTTTCCCCTTTTTTTTATTGCCTGTTTACTGACGTCAATCGATTGATTTTGGAGTGTTGTCGTTGTCGATCCATGCTTTCCCTAATTGCCAGAGACCTCCAACTATCCAACTACCAACTAGTCCAAACGCCCGACTCATCAATCTCATCAATAGACTGGATACCTTCTGGCTCAAAGTACACATTTATTATGCAATAATTAATTGTCGCCCCCGAAATCCGGTCAAGGTTAGGCCATCGAGTCGGTGCCCACATGTCGGCATTATGTTTGGTTCCCATTCCCCAACGCTGTCACGACTTCTTGGCTGGCTGTCCCTCATTTTCTATCATAAATGCCTGGCATATCGTCACATATATCATTCGAGTTCTGTTTATGACCGAGGTTTTTTATTGTCATTGATGAGAGAACCGAGATACAGACAAAGGGTCAAAGGAACAAAGACGGCTTGCCTTGAACTCTTGGTGGGAACATTTATTAAAGTCATTAGGCGGTGCAATTAGGGTAAAATATACAATAATTAATTGACAAACATACTTTACGTTGGATTCACTTCTTCAACCAATTGATTATTATTTCCACAACAAAAACGCAAATGCTCACACTCCATCCTACGAACAATAAACCCCACAAAGCTATAAAGTCCCGGGGCTGCAGAGTATTACCAACTCGTTTATGATCCTTCCTTTGAAGTTTTAGACTCGAAACATGCTGGTGTATGGCCTTCAGTAGCCAGTGAGACATGAGACCAGTATCCCAGGCATTTAGCGAAAACCTTCGAATGGATCGCGAGAAAATGGAGTTCCTGGGCAGACAAAAGATATAGGTAAGACCGCCCAAAATTTGCAGATCTGGTGACTTGCAGAGAGCCTTCTTGGGCACGTTTTCCTGCATGAGAGTGAAGGGATCCTCCTGGTAGGAGAATATCAAATAGGCGTAGTTGGCGTTCAACGTGCTTAACAGCTCCATTTGCCTAGTACTGCTCACTATTAGGGCTTTTGGCAATTTCCTGGCCAGAAAATCCATATTCACATGCTTTTCGATCATCTGATAGGTGAGTCTGTTGAATAGAACTGGTGTTTTGCTCTCGATTAGCTCCTGGAAGTTGACGACGTGCCGGTACTGGGGATTCAGGGTGAGAAGGGTGCTTAATTGTGCTCCTAGAATGCAATAGGCCAGCATTCCTGTTGCACTCATGGCCGTCAGTAGTTGCCCCTTCACGGATCTGAACCGATTCCCTTCAGGGACCGACATGTTTAGGATGCTTAGCAGCACCTTCAGGTTAACAATCATTCTGAAGAATCGAAAACGGCGGTGCTTGCGCTGGATCCAGTGGCTGAAAGCTATAAAAATAAATTCAAGAACGCTGCAAGAGATATAGAAGAGGAAAAAGAAAGCAATGCGCTCCTTTCCACAATTCATTTGGAACAATTCGTATAGAGCCAACTCCTCTCCACAAGGAACTGCGATGGCCAGGCTCGACCATCCCAGAGAAGCATAGATCCGGCTCTCATTGGAATGCCTGAAGTTGTAGAATTGTCCAGTCATCGGTATGTCCAGTTGCCCCTGCAGGGTTATATCCAGTAGCTCTATCTGGGGAATGGCTCTCCTGCCATTCACGGTCTTCAGAATTTCCAACGAAATGTTGTATTGGGTGGCAAAATTCCGAATAACATCGTATATATAGCCGGCATGGGATCTCTTGCCAGTGAGGGGATCTGTGCGAATGAAGCTTCTTGGGGGCACAAAATCGGGAAAACTTCGAAGTTTTTTTCCCATAAAATTCCATGGCATTTCGCAGAAGATTTTATTATTTTTACCTGGATTTTCTACAAGCTTCAGGAATGGCTTTGGAAAAGGTTGTAGGCGATATATCCTTGAAGCACTGTGTACCACGGCAACTCTCACAAAGTTGAACTCAGCTGACTTTTCCTCTATGACTCTGAGAAGTGATTCATATTTTGGGATCGACAACCAGACAATTATCCTGGTATTCCTTAAATGATTCAGGTTTTCCGCCAGAGCATCTAGCAAAATGGCGTCCTCCAGACAATCAATGTAAACCAACGAAAGAATATGTTTTATGTAGTGATTCACCATATAAATAGTGTGATTCTCGTCAAGGCGAATCGTTGGCCAAGCGAAGGGATAGTGCTTCTCCAGAATATCGAGCTGGGACTCCCTCTTCGGAGCCCTTCTTTGCAAAAGCAGGAGGGTGGAAAAGGATCGTGTTTGGTTCACCGATTGAAGGAAATCGCTGATATATCCATGATGCTCCAGGGAGGCCACTGCCCCAACGAGGAGGACCAGAAATAGAGTGACTTTTCTCATGGCTTTGCGAGTTTTAAAAGGCAACTGATGTGGCTGTGAGGCTCTGGTTTAGTTTTAAAGTCATATCCGCGCATCTCCTCCACTAATGCCTCGCAAATCTAACCTTCCATCTAAAGTGCTCTGCACGTATGGAAAGGCAAACCCGCAATCAAATTTACCATTCCACACTGGCATTACGTATACGCACTGAAAGCCGCGAAATGCGTTTTCATATTTAAATTAGTATGAATATTAAATTGAAATTACTTTCGCTATGGCACCATCGCCATCGCTGGCAGCCACCAGGTTGCTTTATATTTAATTAAAGGCATCGCACAATGTCCCCATCACAGCCGCCGTTCGCGGAAAGTTTCTGAACACATGTTTATGTCCTGCTGCCCCTACGGTTAGTCCTTTCATTTGGGTTTCGGGTTTGGCTTTGGGGTTTGGGTTACTCCGCTCTCCACTCTCCACTCCACGCTCCATAAAACCCACTCGAGCTGAGCCCTTCAACGACATAATTTACAAAGCGCTTTGGCAGCTGTCTACCTCTGTCTCCTCATGTCGCCTCCTGTCTGCAGGCTTCAGTCTCCTCGCTCCTGTATAGTGTCTACTGTCTTCTATCGCCTTACCGACACTTCCGGCTCTGCACTGCACTGTTCCCCTCCTCCCAGCTTGGTTATTCCAGTGCCTCGATGCCCTGTTATCGTTGTCACTGTCAGTTTGTGTGTGGCAGGGTAGAGGAGGGCAGGTCCTAGAAGCGGAGGAAGTGGAGCATTTCAAGCGCATTTAATGCGCATAATGTCAAATGCAACAAAGCAACAAAAACAACAGGCCCCCACTCCACGCCATCCCCTCGAAAACCACCAAAACAGTGGAAGGATATGAGGGGCTGGGGTTCGGTTTTGTCAAAAGGGCAAACGTTTGAATTTTAAGCAGGCTTAACCGGGAGATTGAATTAAATTCCTTCATCAGATTAGAATAAGTTTTGCGGTTAATTAAAGTAGCAGGGGTGCTTCAAAAGGATACATCTTTAGAAACCTTAAAGCAACCACATTATTTCTAATCTTATGTGATAATCCGTTTAGTATTCCATATCAAAGGAGTCTATCTAATGAGCTGGCTATAAAATGTGTTACCCAGTACCCGGAAAACTCTTCTCCCCCAATGGTTTCCAGCAATCGCGAGCCATTCCAGCCACAGCCATCGCTTTGAAGATACTTTGGACGAGCGCGACCAAGCCCCAAAAATAAATACTTGCCCGCGAAGGATACCGGGGGCCCCAAACTACACTCCGCATAGGAACAGATAAACTTTTATTGATATAAAAAATTACCCACGTAGAGCAAACAAAAAACAAGGGAATTGCTAAAGAAAACAATTGCCACGGAAAGCGGAAAACGGATGCGGCTACGGATACGGATACGGATGCGCTGGATTCACTTTCGATTGCACACTTGAGTCGACATGGCTGGCATTTTCAGGTGGATTGGAATACGTACCTTTGGCATATCCTGCAGGATACCTGTGGTGGTGTGGTGTGGTGTGGAGGGTTATGCGAGGCTGTTGTTTCGGTGTTTATGATTTTCGGTTCTGGGTGTGGAGGTTACGGGTTTTTTCCTTAGGCCGACAACGAGGCCCCGAGGACAGTGGAGTGCGCGAGCGCGGCATTGGCAATAAATTCTTGGCGAAACTTTCGGCAACTTGGGCCTTGATTGGGGTTCTCCTTTTTTGCGCCGGTGACTTGGTGTGTCCACGGGATAAAATACGGCTTACGGGTCAACTGGCTGGTCACACTGAGCGCCACTCACACACTCGCACCGAATACGCACACTACTTGCGTCTCCGGCTGCTGTCAGCCTTATTTATTTATGCATTCGCACAGGCACCGGCACCGGATCAGGCACTGGCACTGGCACACCCCCTCCACTGACTGTAGACAGCCACAAATTCGCACGGAAATTTTATTGCCACTTATATCATTCGGTGTGAAATTAAATATTTAACTCCAGCTTGATAATTTATTATTCTCGTTTTATTGATTTATGTGTGTGTTATTTCGGCTGTATAAAAAACCAACTACAAACTACAGTACTTTCCATTCAAGATTTATGGTTGCAAGGTCGTTAAAGCTAAAAATCTTTCCCTATTTCAGTTTTTATCTTTAAATATTCTATTAAATTTTATGCTAAACCTTAGACTAAGTCTAGAAACTCATTTTTTTCACTTTGCACAGTCGATTGATTCAATTTTAATTAGCACTTTAGCCATTTCCGGTACAAAAATCTCGCGTTTTGGAAAATGTCACCGACACGAACGAAATATGAACGAAACTCACGACCCCACACGCACGAGCACACACTCAGAGTCATACACACACACACACACAGGCCCACTGTGTGGGGGAGCGAGGGGAAAATCTTCTAAAAGAAAACTCTGGCTTCGCTGACTGGAGCTGGTGAGCTGGTGAGCGTTCGAAGGAAATCACATGTTTCATGTGCAAGGTATAAAAACAAACTGAAAACAGAAACTGAACTGAACTTGGAGCCGAACGTCCACTGCCGACCGACTAACATATTTTCCCGCAGCTGAGTGTGGGGGGTGAGTCCTGGCGAGGATTGTGTAACAGGACCCGATCTGCCGCGAACATGGTTTCCCACTGTTACAGGACTATGCTGGCTGGAAAGCTTCTCGCTTCCAGCGAGCTTTCTCCACTGTTAAGGCTCTGTAGCTTACAGAGTACCGCCAAACAATTGGGGAAGACGTCGTTTCCCACATAATTCGCGCTTGATTGGCAAACAAAAACCAAAAAAAAAAAAGCAGCTACAAAACGAGAGTGACAGGTGTAAAAAACTGAGAGTACAATTAACGCTTGTTTATGACTCGACTGACAGACAGAAAATCAGTTCAGCGAGACCGCAACAGGTGTGCGGAAACCGCAGGCCTGAGCTTGAGCTTCAGCTCGAGCTGGAGTCTTAAATGAGGAATATTGTAAACAATAACAAGAGTCATAAATGTCACAAATGCCAAGAGCAGCAAAAAAAAGCTGTAAACTCAAGCCGATAGACGCCCTCCGACGGGCTGAGCCAATAAATAAATTCCAAGCAAACACACACAACACGCTTAAGGTTGGCCCCAAGCATTCCTTCCTCTGAATTTCATTACGAATGCCAGACACAGGAGCACGCAGCTGGATGGCCACTCAAGCCACACTGTTTGCCAGGACAGCGGGACATGGCAGCACAGGACAACGGGTCGGCAGTCAAGTAGCCGGGCAGCTTCCTCAAGTCAAGTCAAGTGGAAAGCATCTAGGCGAGGCAACGCCAGAGCCAGGGGGCCAAAAGTGTGTTAACATACTAATATTCACTTTGCATCTTAATCGTTGTTGTGTGTGTGTGTCTGTGTGTGTGTGTCTTGGCCAAAAGGATGTTATTCCGGTGTGCGGGGGAGTGACATTGATAGCATTGCTGAGGATGGAGCCAGCAATCCTGGGCCGTCGTGCTACACCAATTTCAATTGCCGCCTGTAGTTGATATAATCATCATTATGCTGACAAATTTGGGCTTTGTGTTTGGCATATGCGAAGGCAATTTAGAAGTCATGAATAATTTGTGTGTCAAGGAAGAGATCTAAGCCACAGGATGCAAATATCAATTGAGAATTAAGTTAAATAATACTTGCTGGCACAATTGATTGAGTGGGTCACAAAGGAATAAGTTCTTTGCTTTGAATATATGTTTTGATTCAGAATATAATTCTTATTCCCAATTCAAGCCCAACATATCCTATTAACAGAGTTATTGGCGCCATCTGTTTCTCGGGATGTGAGCCTACTGGCTAGTCTCCAAAAAAAGCTTCTCCTGGCACACAAACACAAAACACAAAGTGAAAGCTGTATAACCAATAGAACGGAAACTGAAACATTGTCCTGTGCCTTTTTCTCAACTGGCAATGCTCACAGGCTCTCTTTCTGCCCTTGCTCCCTCATCCTGGGGTTATGCTTCTCCCTAGCATGTCCTGCGAATAACAATGTAAAGGCATAAGCAGCACGAACACGTGGTTGAGCCACAACCAAGAGAGTAAACCGTGACTTTGATGCAAAGAGCAAAGAGTAATGCAAAGAGAGGATGGGCAAGTTAACAGAAGGATAAGGTCAGGAACGGGGGGGAGGAGGACGGAAAGTCCTGAGGAAAACATGTGCGTCCAAACGTTTCCTTGCTGGGTGCGCCGTTAAGCGCATTTGCTTGCTTAGGCGCAAATCTCACTTCACTGACATTTTACTGGCAGTGTCCTGACAGCGTCCTGCCATTTTCCTGACCAACGTTGGCCTCTGTTGACCTCCGATGGCCTTCTGCTGCTACTCTGCTGCTGCTGCATTTGCAGCTGCCCTCCACTAATTGGCAATTTCAGTGAAAGCAACTTGTCGTGGTCGTTAATGTTGGTGGCTTTTTGTTGGTGCCTTCCTGTTGATTTCAGATTAATGAATTTAAGACACGCACATCCTGGCCAGTCCAAAGGTGGGATTTTAATTTCAAAATCCAGCTAATGCTTGAAATTTTTCCCCCCTGTTTCGGACTTGTTGCTTTGTCTGCGTGGGGCATTAATTTTTTTAATGAAACCTTATGACGCAATGGGTCGTATACGTAATGTGCGCCATGACGCCCGCCTGAAAGTATGCAGCAAAAACACTTTAACCATTTTCAGAAGCATTGCATCTGAATGCTTTTATCCTTGTGGTTATGAAAAGCTTAGGCGGAAAGGGAGAACGCAAGGGGCGAGGGGTCGCCCATCGAAATGTGTGCTTGGAAAATGTTATTAAGCTGTTGAGCAAGGAACTCGTCCTGCGTAGCCTCGATTTATTGAGTTTGCTCGTTGGTTTAACGCATTGCAAACTACTTTCTCAACAGGATAAGTACATAAATTCCCAGTTCGAAAATATTTGTGCTTCATAATCAAATGAAGCGGGTGAATATAATAAATTTATGCCAATTTATGCTTGGGCACTGCCGAGATAAATATTT